TCAATGAGCTGGTCATCCTCATTGTGGGATCACTAGTCATTACTGTGCCATTTATATGCATCCTGGTCTCTTATGGCCACATTGGAGCCACCATCCTGAGAACTCCATCAATCAAGGGAATCTGCAAAGCCTTGTCCACGTGTGGCTCTCACCTCTCTGTGGTTTCACTTTATTATGGTGCCATTATTGGGTTATATTTTGTCCCCTCATCTAACAACACTAATGACAAGGATGTCATTGTTGCTGTGCTGTACACTATGGTCACACCCATGCTGAATCCCTTTATCTACAGTCTGAGGAATAGGGATATGAAAGGAGCTTTGTGGAATATGCTTGCAAAAGCAACCTTTTCTATGTGATTAGCTTTTTCTGCGCATTAAGGTGAGCTGAGGTCTACCCACTCTCTACAAGTGTCCTCTCCTCTGGAAAATGAAATGCTGTTTCTTAGTGATTTGGGGCAATGTGTTTTCAAGCACACCTTACCATGTATGTAATTTAAAATTTAAATCTTTCTTTCCACCTTCCTTTCATCTTTCCTTCTTTCTTCCCTTCCTTCCTTTTTAAAATCATTTTTTTATTTGAATTAGAAACAAGATTGATTTACATGACAATCCCAGTTCCCTTCTCCCTCCCTTCCTCCCCTACCACCCCCCAACTAAAACCCTACCTATCACATATCCTTTCTTCTATTCTTCACCTGACTCAACCTTTCTGCTCCCTCATGACCACTGCATCCTTCCTCTTCTTCCCTTCTCATTCTTGTAGCTCCCTCCCCCCTCTTCCCAGGCTTTCAATTTGCTCAGGGGATCATGACCCTTTCCCCTTCTCCAGGAGACAATGTTTGTCTCTTTTAGGGTCCTCCTTGTTTTCTAGTTTCTCTGGCAGTGTGGATTATAGGCTGGAAATCCTTTACTCTATGTCTAAAAACCACATATGAGTGAGAACATATCATGTTTGTCTTTTTGTGATGGTCTTCCCTTCCTTCTTGTTTGTCTTATTGAGCCTGATAATCTTGTGCAAGTTTTCTTCAGAAACATATCCACACATTTCTGTTTTCCATATAGAACCAGTTCCCACAATTGTGAATTCATTTCCTCACTGTTTTCATTGTTTTTTGGTATGTTAAAGCCCTTAAGTAGCAAAGATTTTTTTCTCCTTTCTTAAAGATGCTAATATTTCTTGGGACTGATTGATTTCATGGTATTATTTGTGTTTAATTTCATAATTTAGCTAGAGTTTATATTTTTTATTAACTTTAATTCAAAATATAACTATGCTTTTGTTTTAATTAATGTCCTCTTATTTTTAGTTGACATCAAATGTGTATAGTTACTGGGTACGATGTATTGTTTCCATACAGTTCATATGTCCAAATCATGGCAATTATGTTTAATTCTCCATTTTCACATGTTTATAATAGAACTACTAAGAATTCTTTCTCCTATCATTTGAAAAACAGTGTTTTTTTATTACCAGACTCAGCACCTTACCATATAATCAGAAGCAATTTTTCCATTTAACTGTAATCACTTGTTAGTCAACCTCCCTCTAAATCTGTGCTTCTCTTTGTAGCCTTTGTTCCATTCCCTTTCCATTTTAGTGGTGTCAGTGTGAAGGTAGCCAAGTACATACCATTTTTACCTTCAAGCATCTCAGCCTGTTCACATATTGAAAACAAGATTCGTTTTCTATAAAAAGGCCATAAACAAACAAATACTCATTAAATTGGTGAATAAAACCCCCATTGGAGATCTCTGGGTCATAGGAAGGCAAATCCCTGCAAAAGGGTAGTGAGAGACTTTGCAAAGCATTCCAGGCTGTTGTGATTGTGCATACACTGTGCATCCTGCAGTTTGGCCTCTTTGGATGTGAGCTGAGGAGCAGCTGCCAACGTCTCAGGAAGTCTACTCAATCTGAATTGATTCACACATGCAGGGATATATATTAATCAACTGTCACGTGTTTTAAAATGAAAAATGATACATCTTTGCCCTTCACTCAAATGTGTTGCTTTCTATGTCCATTTAAAATAATGCATTTTGAAATTTAATCCTTGCGAAGCTGCATCTGTTCAAGATAAAGGTCTTTAACTTCACTTCTATAAATAGATTGCTGTAACATTTATTTTTATTAAAAATATTAAATCATATCAATGTACAAAGTAATGAGTTTCATTGTGACTTTGTCCTACACACACATAGCACTTTGATCAAGTCAACCCGCTCTGTGTTCCTCTTTTATTGTCTCCACCTCTGCTTCTTTTTATCCTGCTCTCTACCATAGTAGACTGTCTTCGATATACAGGATGTCTTTTTCTTTCAGTTTTCACATATGGGAGAAAAATGGTAGTATTCTTTCTGTTTATATTTTTTCATAACACAAGAAACTCAGATCCCATAGTTTTTCTTACAAAAGGCAAGTGATAACTTTTGTTCATCACCTGTTAGTTGCCTTGTACTTATTATCACAATTCCTCCAAGGATGAACTCTCTTGTGTCTTCTTCAGCAAACAATCTATCCCTGTAGAATCCCAAGGTAATGATGCAACCATACGTAACTTGTCCCTAATCAGGGGTGAGGCAAAGAGGATCACCCCTAGGTCCTCATCATGGACTAGATGAGGACTAGATTAAAACCCACACTGGTTTCTCAGGGCTATGAACAACATGCACCCATGTATCCATGTATCTATCACAGCAGACTGCATGATGAAAACCTTCTGTTGCTCACAGTGGATCACTGAGCACCTAGCACCCTGCCAGTTTCACTATATTCTCTACATTCCATAAAGAAATGGAGGAGCTTTCATGCCTTGTAAATAAGGTATCTGTGCTTACTGTCAAAGGCCCACATCAGAGTGGAAATAGAATTTATGAGAAGTAGCATGACTGTGCAACCTTGGATGTCCTTATGTGTATGTGTTTGCAGTGTACATTACTTCTCCCTATGGTCTAATACTCTTCATGACACACCAGGACAGATGGATTCTTGTAGAATAACTTTTCTTGATCATCTATTTAAAATTTGAAAGAGTATGATGACAGCAAATTTTTATTCTCTCTGATTTTATATCTAATTTTGAGATGAAAAGGTGGAGCATACATTCCTTTGCTTTTCTTGGATTCCCATCATTTTCTTGGGTATTTTTTCAAATTTTGTACTAAATCAATATATTTTGACTCTTCTGTGCTGCAACAATTCACATAGAAAGGGGAATTATTTTGTACCTGCTAGTAGAATCACTATTCAAATTCCCAATGATTCTGTTTCAATCATTACCAGCAGATGGCAAGCTCCTAAAAATCTTTACTTAGACTTTTGCTTGGTCCTGTTTCTGAGAACAGAATGAAGATTTCTAATGTAGCAGAAAGGATCTTATATATGCAGGCTCCTGAGAGTTCTCTAATTCATATCTTTTCTGGCTAACTATAGGCTTGAGTTTTCTCAGTTCCTCAAATGCTCCCACTCTGTACTCTCCAAGCATGTTTTTTTTTAATAAAAATAATTTTCATGAGAAAGATTCTTATATTAAAGATTGCTTTAAATAATATGCAGGAATAGAATTCCTTGTCTCCTTATCTTTTTATAATTGGACAATGTCAAAATCATGAGTATAAATACTAATTCCATTTTTACAAATTCATTCTTCACACATGCACATTTTACATATGTGTGCGAAAGAACTTAAAATACAACAAGCTATTACAAACAACCCACATCTGCAGCAGATAGCTGATTGCTATTTTCACTGAGATATATTAGTTTTTATTATTATGAAGTAAGTTATCAAAATGTAGTCCATCTTCATAACAGCATTACTTAAACGACTTCTAATGTAGTAGGATAAATAATATGTAAGTTTTAAACATACTTCAACCAAGTTGAAATGACTTATATACTTATTTATATTTTATTGTAATCTTCAGTTAACTCTTCAAAGAAATGGTGGACAAGATTATTATGTAATTCTCGAAAATCAACACATTCGGAGTTAATCATTTTTGAGAGACTATGGAGTCTGTATTTTAGTAGATGTTTCACAAGTTTTCTTTCCTGAATACGAAATGATTGTGAAAATGGGTAGGTCTAAAGTCAACAAATTTGAAGGAAAAGGAGGAAGAATTAGAATATTTACAAATTATAAGTATGGTTGGAATATAACAAAAATTAGTTAAGAATCAGTAGTAAGAAACCAAGCTTGTGAACCGCTGTAAAGGAGAACTTATTACTTGTTTATGCCAGACAAACATTCACAAAGAACTTCCTCTTTGGCAGATTCTGCATGTGACTGGGAGAATCAAGAATTTCTGGGACTATTATGGGCTTGAATAAGAATGGACCAGCTTGAACAATGAGACTATATACAGAGGACTTGTAAGTGTGTATTTGATGAGACACAATGCCCTTTTTCTCTGTATCTAGTGATGGAAGACTGAACTGTTGGATAGGAAAGAACAGTCTTAAAGGAAGAATTGATAGAGTATCTGAGGTGTGCCACTAGCTTATGAAACCCCCAAGATTGGTCTGTAGATTCTGACATTTTGGAGCTTACACACCTAATACTCTCATGGGAAGTGGAAATAAATCATATCCAAGAAGTATCTTAGAGGTTTGGGTGGGAAGTGAGAGGGGGATTTAAGTCAGCCCTACCAGCCATTGGAAGCCATTTGGTGGAATTTTATTTGTTCCTTACCAACTCTGCCTTGCACTAGATTTTTTTTTTCATGGACTAACCTCACCTCTGGTTGAGCCTGAAGGAATCTGATACTCACTCTGGTGATTACCATTTTTTCCTCCAAAACAATTTGAGTTGGCTTCTAGGCAGGCATAATACATTTAAGCACATAATCATTAACCCAACAGTTTGGAAAAATTCAAGATATTCCACTTAGAGAGTTCAATCTGACTAATTAAAAAGACATGCTATTATCCTATAATAGATGCCATGACCTCTGCTTCATCCATATCATCCTTTTTCATATCTAGCTAAAGAGAAGAAAATGATGAAGAATAACCAGAGCACCACATCTGAGTTCATCCTCCTGGGGCTCCCCATATGGCCAGAGGTCCAAGGCATGTACTCTGCTCTGTTCCTCACCATGTACCTGACCACAGTGCTGGGGAACCTGCTCATCATCCTGCTCATCAGGCTGGACTCTCACATCCACACCCCCATGTACTTCTTCCTCAGTCACTTGGCCTTCACAGACATCTCTTTCTCATCAGTCACTGCTCCAAAGATGCTCATGAACATGCTGACACACAGTCAGTCCATCTCATATGCTGGGTGTATTTCTCAGATATATTTTTTCTTATTGTTTGGGTGTATTGATAACTTTCTTCTGACCTCCATGGCCTACGACAGGTATGTGGCCATCTGTCATCCTCTGTACTATACCACCATCATGAGTCAGAGTGTCTGTGTACTGTTAGTGATAGTGTCCTGGGTATTTTCCTCTACCAATGGCCTTGTACACACTCTTCTATTTGCTCGTCTCTCTTTCTTTAGAGACAACACAGTCCACCACTTCTTCTGTGATCTCTCTGCTTTACTTAAACTGTCCAGCTCAGACACCACCATCAATGAGCTGGTCATTCTCACTTTAGCAGTGGTAGTCATTACTGTGCCATTCATATGCATCCTGGTCTCTTATGGCCACATTGGAGCCACCATCCTAAGAACTCCTTCCATTAAGGGAATCTGCAAAGCCTTGTCTACATGTGGCTCTCACCTCTGTGTAGTTTCTTTGTACTATGGAGCCATTATTGGTCTATATTTTTTTCCCTCCTCCAGTGACACTAATGACAAGGATGTCATTGTGGCTGTGATGTACACTGTGGTCACACCTATGCTGAATCCCTTTATCTACAGTCTGAGGAATCGGGACATGAAAGGAGCACTGAGAAATATCCTCCTCAGGAGAATGTATTCACAGTGAGGAGTGTGGTCTTCCCTCTTTCTGTATTTGAGAACTTCTCAGTCCTGCACATGACTCTATCTATGACTTGGTTCTCTTCAGTGAGGGTTCAGGTTGTACTTTTTTAGACTATGCTTCACCTCAGCAACAGGTTTTGTTTCTCTTTAGTTATTTTGCTCATCTTGGGGGATTGCTTGTTTGTTTGTTTTGCAAACACTTCCATACTGTTTTCCTTTTCACAGTGTGTCCTACCTTTAGGAACATAAAATTTTATATGATTCCAGTCCTTTGCCTTTCATTATTATCTAATTTTATGGCCTTCTGTATAAAAGATTTTTCCTTTGTCAAGAAAACGGAACTATTTCTCCTGAGTGTGAATTATTTAATTTTATTTTTAATTTTACAATATACTTTGAATTTATTTTCATGAGTAACACTGTTGCTGGAGTTTCTTTCCAGCCTGGTCCTGCAGCCAATTAGTCACAAATAAAAACACAAGGACTAACATTAATTTACAAACTGTTGGCCAGTGGCTAGGGCTTCTTATTGGCTAACTCTGTCTTAATTATTAACCCATTTCTATTAATCTATGTATTCCCACAAGATTAATTGTATTCCAGCATGTTGCTCCTAAGAATTCTCCATGTCTCCTAGCCCTGCCTATCTTCCTGCTTCTAGTGGCCAATCAGTGTTTTATTCACCAACCAATAAGAGAAACATATATACAGAAGGAATCTTCCATCATAACACCAATTAGAATGTTAGTTTGTTTTTTTCCAAATAATTTTGATTGTTGGTTTTTTGAAACAGGGTTTCTGGGTGTATTCCAGACTGTCCTGGAATGTGTTCTGTAGATCAGGCTGACCAGAAACTCAGAGATCAATCTGTCTTTGCTTCTAAAGTACTAGGATTAAAGGCATGAGCTACCACCACCAAGTTAACTTTCAAAATTAGTACATAAAGTAATACATAATGATGTCACTTTGAAAATCAGTATGTGAGTTTCTCAAAGACTAGAAATAGATCTTCCATTTGACTCTAGCAGGCCTAGGAATATACACAAGTGACTTTATATCTTACTACACAGACACTTGCACATCCATGTTCCTTTCTGATATATTCAAGTAGGTAGGAAATGGAATCAACTTAGAAGTCTATCAACTGAAAAATGGAAAATAAAAATACGGTATATATGTACAATGCAATATTAATGAGCTGTAAAAGAAAACAAAACCATAATAATTACAGGCAAAGGTATAAAAATAAATTCATGAAAAAATAAAGTTGAGTGAGGTTTTTGTTACCCAGGTCACAAAAGACAAATTACTCATGTTATCTTTCATATGAGGTTTCATATCCTAGGTTCACATATTTTGTTTTGTGTATTTAACATAGAGTATGCATTAATGCCAAAAGACAACTAATGGATTGTTGGTTGTGGATGCCTTTAGGAAGCTGGGTATTAGAAATTAGGTGAAATGAAAGCAAAGAGGTAGAATCCTGGGGTCAGAAGTGTTCAGGCCTGTAGTGGAGGGATGTGTATGGGGAAATGGGGTAGATTTAAACAAAATGAAGTGTGCACAAAGAAGTTGCTTGGAAAACTATGATCTTGAAATTTAAGTTAAATCTTCTAAAAGGGGATAGTAGATCATTGCAATATGAAAGAACAGGGAAGACTACTGGGAGAGAAACGATTAAGGGTGGGAGGGAAGGGTATTGGGAAGAGCGGTAGGTCTGTGCTAATCAAAAATGAAGATGTATGATAGAGGAAAGATTATAAGAGCTGGAAATTGGGGAAGAGTGGCTGTGAAATGCTGTCCTCTGGACACGCTGTGGCTGTTGCATGCAAGAACCCACAGTAGCTATAGTTATCCTTACAAGGCCTTCACAAGATCAAGAGAGTTGAAAATTCCAGCATAGAGGAGAGTGGCTCAAAATGTCCACCCCTAGCTGAAGAGCTGTTGACAGTTGATGGCTGGGAGAGGAAGAGTCACTGTTCTTCAGGAGTATGGATACTGCTGGGTTCCCCATATCCTAGTAGATGACCCAATGCCTATGCACAACATGGGGAAACTGGTTGGACTCAGTGGATTAAGAAATAAAAAATTAAAAAAGTTTAGAAGAAAGGCATGACTTTGGGATGAAGACATGGTAGACAGTCCCTTTGCAAGTTGGAGGGAAAGAGTGTGATATAAATATGATCCAACACATTGCATACATTTCTGAAAATTTTAAAGAATAAAGAAAGTTAGAATTAATAATTACAATGAGAAATGACACATACTTTCAAGTTTCCATGCATATGTAAGTTAGGCAATTTTCAAATACAAGTAAGTATAAGTATCTCCTTCATTATTCACCTTGCACTGTAAGAAACACTAATAATACTTTTATCTTTTGCTGTTTTTGAAGGATGCAGCTCACAATTATTATGTTTTGTCAATATGGTGTTTGCTTTTTGTCAACTTGACACAAGCCTAGACATATCTGGGGAGAGGGAATCTTAACTGAAAAAAATATCTCTAGAAGATTGACCTGCAGGCAAGTTTGTGGACTATCTTTATTAGTGATTAATGTGAAAGAGTCTAGCCTACTGTTGGATGGGTGACAAGGTGGGAGTATCTGAGAGACGATGAGGGACACTGTGATCAAAATATATTGTAAAGTTTCAATAGAAAAAGAAAAAATAAACTGGCCACCAAATTGTAAAAATGATCATAAAACTAAGAGTTATTTTTCAGTTATGTACAGTGATTTTTTTAAAAAGGGTTTCAATTGTCAACAATTTTGCAATAGTTGTCATTTATTCTTTGGGACTTTCATACACATACGCAGTGTATGTATAGTATATATAATCAAGCTCCCCTCTCCAGTACCCATGGAGACCTCACCCAACCGTTGCTCCTCCCAACTTTGTGTCTTGTTTTTAAAATTCTTTAAATAGCATAGGCTCCAGAAACAAGACATTTTGTCACCATAGCCAGCCTCCAGCTTTGTTCATTATTGACTTATAAATCATGGCTCCCTCAGGGGAACTAGGAAAGCAAGTATCTTTATGAGCTACCATGTCTCAAATCATTGTTTTGTGGTTATACTATGACTTCTCCAAGGATGAACTCTCCTATGTCTGTGTTAACATATGGTTCTATTCCTGGGGGTGCCAGAAACAGTGTAACAATTATATTCAGTTTTTTCTAATTGGGGACAGTTTATTGATAAATTGTCCCCCGGGTCCTTTTAACGTTTTGAAAAACTAGAACTCACACCAATTTCTCTGGGGCTGTTGCCCAAAGTGTTGTAATACAGGCAAACCTGGTCCCATCTCTTGGGAATCTGGCACAGTGTGTCACTCCTCTGCACATGGCAGATAGTACCATGGCTCTGTGTACAGGTGCTAAGGTCCCTTTAAGAGAAAAGCTCTGCCTAATTTCTCTCTTTCTGCTGTTTCTTTGAGGAGGTCCCTTTCTGTCTCTGTCTTTCTCTGTCACTCTGTCTCTCTCTCTTCTCCCTCCCCACTATCTCTTCCCTTCCCTTATTTCATTCCCTTTCCTCAATAAACTTTCTATGTAAGTTATGTCTCTGTCTATCTCTCACCCACCATTTGTCCCTCACCTGCCATGGGACCTGCCAAAGATCCCATCTTGCTGCATATCATAACACAAAGTATACTGATATATTAGCCTAGAATTGCTTATTTGTGAGATTACAGCTTTTCCACTTGCACAGTGCAATATGGAGTTCCTTAGGGATACCATCTGTTCTACTATATTCTGTGCATCTAAGAGAGAAACAGAAGACCCTTCCCATCACTTGTTGCTTAAGGCATTTATCATCTTAGAAGTCATGTGAATGCAGGTGCAAAGTGTACACGTGATGATAGTGTTAAACATGTTCAGTGTTATGTATCCTCAGCTCTTCTCTTTCCATGGTAAGACAATTACCGTGTAGAGAAATTTATTGTTTTCCTTTTATTGATAATAGATTCATTTTACCCACAATATATTCTGATTACAGTTTCCTATCTCTTTACTCCTCCCAGTATCTCTCCATCAGTACTCCCATCAGGATTCACCTCCTTTCTGTCTCTTACTAGAAAAGAGCAGGCCTCTCAGAGACAACAACAAAACATAGCATAAAATATAATAAGATAAAGTAAAAAGGAAACACCAAATAAAAGTTGGACAATTCTATCAGTTGTTGGGCATCTACTACATTTGTTGTTGCATTAGATGAATTTCTTAGCTTGTCTTACTCAATATTGCAACACATCTGATTAAATAGAAATCACTGAAATGGGTGCTGATGGTCATGACTGCAAAGCTTGCACCCAGGAGATTGAGGCAGGAGAATCGTGAGATAAAGACCCACTCAGGCTACACAGTGAATGAAAAGTTAGCCTGGGTTGTACATCAAAGCCCTATCTGAAAGAAGAAGACAGAATGGAGAAAAGAAGAAACAAATAAACAAGGAAATAAATAACATATTTTCCATAATTTTTGCTTAATGGAAGGGAAGACTAAAATCCAGTGAGGTTAATTAACTAGACACCAATCTCATGGTTAGCAAGCATCCCACCCCAAATTAAAAGAAACTAGTTTAACATAGACATCTCTCCTCATTTAACATTATTCTCATTGTATTTAGGAAGAGAGAATTCTACGACAGAGGAGCCTCCTTAGGGCCCCTTTCATGTCCTTGTTCCTTAGGCTATAGATGAAGGGGTTCAACATGGGCGTTACCACTGTATACACTGCAGCAGCTGCAACGTCCTTTTCTACTGAGACTATAGAGGGAGGACACAAGTAGGCACTGAAGAGCGTCCCATAGAAAACACAGACCACACAGAGGTGAGAACTACAGGTAGAAAAGGCCTTTGAACTCCCACCAGGTGTTCGAACCTTCAGGATAGCAAATACAATGTGGACATAGGAGATGACAATGCATACAAAGGGGACCATGAGCACTGTGCCTCCTAAGGCAAAAACCATTAATTCATTGACATGAGTGTCAGAGCATGATAG